TGAGAGTAATATTCAATGAAAAACTCGATAAATATCTATGTAGAAGGTTGAATGATTTCATACAGCTTTTCGACTTCCTACGTAGCCATTCGCTATGTTTGTTTTTGAAGTTTGTCTTGGATTTCGTGTATTAAAGGAAGGCATGCTTCAGTTCGGTCAACACTAAATAATTTGTGTAGTGCATTCAGAGCGGCATCAAGATTTCCTTGACATTGATACACTCGTGCCAACGTATCATACAGTTCATATAAATTAACCGTATTTGCCTCTAGACTGCACAAATTCTGTATCATTTTTTCTGCTTCTAGTAAAGAGTACACTTTTCTCCCATTCGAAAAGAAGATAGTACATGGAACCGAGCTGGAGATGAGCATAAATGCGAATCGAATGTCCCACAGGTAGACGTCGTGCTGTCATTGTTGCTAATATCTTGTACCATATCCTAGCCAGCACTATTTCATGTTTTGCTTTATGGACATCGGCAATATTAGCGTAAGAAGTGAAAAGATCAGGATGATCTTCTGACATTATCGCAAGACGCATTTTCAATGCTTGGTAGAGGTAGTTCTTACCGACTTTCAAGTCATTCATTGATAGATAGACAACTCCAATATTATTATAGATAGTTGCTGTAGTAGGACTTGTAATCATAACTTTGTCAGAGATTTTTCGAGCTAATTCATAGTAGTACAATGCTGAATTCCACTTTTTCATGTCTTTATGAACACCTCCAAGATTATTGTAAATGTTCGCCAGCTCGGGATGGTCCTTTGGGTACGTAGCTTTACCAACTTGAAGGGCTTTTTGATACATTTGTATAGCTTTTTCTGAACGATCTGTTCTCGCAAAAAACCAGCCCAGTTTCGTACAGGTACTAATAATAATAGGATGAAGAGGATTCCATGAAACAATATTTTTTATCAAATACATCATTGCTTTATGACAATATAATTCTGCTAAATTAATATTACCAAGTGCCTGATAGGTAGCAGCAATGTCTGTCAGAATCACCACCATACCGATCATTTCACTTGGCATTACATGTTGCAGAGCCACAAGATGTTGTGCTAATGCTTCATTGTATTCTCCAGCATCAAAATGGGCTCTACCCCAGTTGTGATGAAGTTGGGCGACATTTAATCCTTGTTGTCTGGATCTTACTGATATGCGTTGATAATATTTTTTTGCTCGCTCATAATCACCAAACTGGCGAAGAACAACAGCAAATGTGACCAAAGAAATTTGATCTGTATCTATTATTTTTACAAAGAACTCAAACAAATCCTTCAGATCTTCCTCCAGACACAGTTCCAACTTAACATAATATGTTTGATTGGGATCGTCTAATTGATCAATGGATTTAATACGAAAGACTGCACCAACCGAAAAAAGCACCTCGTATTCATCTCGAATACAACTATAGTTACTAATATCCGCAAAGGGCACAGATCCATTGGAAGGTAGATCAACGATGATTTCGAAGATAACAGGCTCAAAGTGTGGGCGTGCTGCATTATTACTACAAAACATGTTGGCCACTGCTCGAGAAGTTGTTGTTGAAAAAAATGAATTGATCGAGATTAGACCGTTGACATTTCGTTTGAATTGCTCGAAATCATGGCACGGCATGCGGTTTCCACGGTATAGAACAAGTCTGTGAGCAGTACTATTTGAAAACTGAAATTGGTGTAGATGTGTAAGGTATGCATACAAGTTTTTGATAAACGAACGAAATTCGAATACTTTGTCAATATTTTCTGAACGAAATGCTGTATTAAGCGACTCGGACAAAAAGCAAGGTCGAGTATACCATAAAATAGGATTTTGAGTGGTATGGGTTTGTTCAAATTCATCAATGATTGCCAACTGTGCAGGATTGTTGTAAAATAATGAACGACAATGTTTAAGTAAGTCAGCAGTGTCTTCCGAGGAGTATGGTAATCGTATGAGAATGTACAAAAGTATCTGAAACCACATGAACGAGGATCTCTCACTCATTAGGTTTCGAAAAGATTTCTGATTTCTATCGACTTCGCTCATAAAACTCATCGGAGGTGAGCAAAGATTCTTATCAGTATAATAAGGAGCTAGACGCATGTCCATTGCAAGCTGTATAAAGAGTGATTCATAGTCGTTGAATGCACCACGAATCTTTACATAGTGACTGTGCCATGTGGTGTGATCGAAACAAACATTTCCGATGGCAAATTCGCCGTTGTTCTCTTCTTTCTTTAATATATAGATGCCTTTTATTGAAGGCAGATCATGCATATCATCGATGAGAACATGCGATTTCTGTTCTACACAAATCAGGAACACTTTTTCGTATGAACCTTCTTGAATAAAATGAATACATTGTTTTACATCTTGAAAAATATAAGGCTCATCACAAAGAGATATCATGAGCCCTTTGATAAGAGTAACATCAATAAAAGTATCGGGAAGCGTCCAATCAAAGTAGATTATAGCGTAGGTATCTTTCACAATATTGGAATTTTCACTGAGTTTACATTGCTTCTTCTCATGGAATAAATCTGGTTGCTTATCGATAGATTGGGTGAACACAACCATACCATCAAGAGCGTCTCCGACTTCAACCACAGACTCGAATTCCTTGTGATCATGGGCACCAATTAAAGTAATTGACGTTGATTCTAAGAATTCAGTGATGACTGCCTCATCCTCACTATTGATCGACGAAGGCATCAAATTGGTAGTTGTGAGCAGGCTAAGACAAAAGAAAAAGACAAATATAAAGAAGATTTAACATAAAGCTTTCTACCTGTCACTTGTTAGCTGTTTCATGTCGGTCTAATTACGATTGATTTCTGTATTCAAAGAAAAAACATGTAATTGCCACATATTAACGTTATTTTATGCGGTTAAAAATTATGGTGAAACTCTAATTTATTAAAAACCAAGATACTTAAGCAAGCATTTCCCAGTTGAAAACGTATTTGCCAACGAAATTCTTACATTAAAGGCTGTTTAACACTTGACCTTTCAAAGTGCTTACTAAAAATCATGAAAAGGTCTTATTATCTCGAGTGTAGATGTCGGGATGACTCAGGAACCTCTCAACAGGTAAGTTGAAGAGTAATTGAATATAGAAGAAATAGAAGTGAACTATTATTGAATTACATAATCTCGATAAATTTTATCTTTAAGTATGGGTCTGATACAACCGAACAAAAAAAATAAAGGATAAGAAAAAGCAAAAAGTCAGAAAATATAAGTAGAGTGTAGGCGCACATATAGAAGTTGATAGATGAATTTATTTATTGAAAATAACTGTCTCACTCAACGCATTGAATCAAGTTTCTTCTCACCAAAAGATCAATAAAATTTTGGCTTCACCGATAAATACATATATATATTGTGATACCCTATGTAATCACATGAATTCTCTATGACAAATAAAACAGGTAAAAAATATTTTAAGTCAATAACGTATATTGAGCCTATTTATACTTTTGATAATATTCTAGTATGTTGTTACTTACTAGAAAGAAGGCAATAGAAGGTAATATATTACGAAAATGTTGTGTACAGTTGTGGTTGATTATACTTAGTGTTTTATATGTAATTTTGCTTATCTTTCTGCTAAATGATTCAATTCGTTTATGTCAACAATCATGTATTTTTTCGTTTCTTACTTTTCCATTCATTTGTTTCGTCTTTTTTGCTTATTCTGTTGCACACTGCATCACGAACATATGTACACAAGAAAAAGGCTTGCATACGAAACGAGAATTTTTGAGTGATTTGTGCACAGTGAAGCTTGTTGTTAGATTACGATGTGTACTTAGAGTTCGATTTTGAATAGATGTTGACCTTTCTTCTTCTTTATTTATTAAGAATTAAAAAATGCCGTCCCTACAATAGTTATGCACGCACATATATAACATCAGATGAAGAAAGAAAAGAAGAAAGACCACAAACAAAAGTGACATGAAAGAAAAAAAACATAGAGAAAGATGTCGTTCCTAACACTTGTAAACAAGGTAAAATTTAAGTGCATTTATGCATGAAACAAATATTGACAAGCAAAAGGCATTCAGAAAACAATTTACTCTGATTTTGGTGCGTGTAATATACTATCTACATGTTTACATAAAAAAAAAACTTTGAAGCAAAAAAACCTGATAAGTATTCACATGCATAGTTGATATTGGACTTTTTAAAATCGTAGACTCAACTATATTTACCTTGAATTTAGTTTTTCTTAATATACAGTAGTGGCCAAAATTATAAGAACAAAGTTTTTTTTTATGTGTCAATGTATTTTCATCTCCTCTTTCCTTGCGTAGATTGATCTATCA